GAGGTCCGCCCCAGTTGAACCCCTAGTTATTATGATGATACTACTGCAGTTGTGGAAACTTAAAAACCCACCTGACCCAAAAGCAGCAGGATAGTGTGGCCTCTCTGCTTGGGAAAATTAAAGAAATCTGCCAGGACCAGACAGTGTGTACCATGCCAGCAGTTTGAGATGTAGACGTTGAACGCATCCCAGTGATAAAACAAAACCACCCCTGGTTGATCCCTGACAGGCTGGCTCAGGTCAGGCAGAAGATCCAGTATGTGCTGGACAATAATATAGATGACTCTAGCTACAGTAGTTGGAGTTATTTCATTGTACCACTCCCGAAGCTGGATGGATCGACCCAGCTCTGCATCAACTACCAAAAAGTAAGTGCACTTAGCCAGAGCAAGTCCTAACCAATCTGGCATCTTCAGGATTGTATAGGCAAGATTGGTCAAACTTTTAAAAAGGTTAGCAAGGTCCTCTGACGCAAGAGCGAAAGAAATCACAGCATTTGCCTCCGCATGTCTTGCATTTGCCTCTGCATGGCCTTTGCCAATGTGAGGTTATGTCCTTTGACCCCAAAAAATACCTCCGCAATCTTTCACAGTCACCAGCTAGGCAGTCTCTGAATTCAACAATTGTGCATTTACCGTGACACCTGATATGACCACTTAAACAACCTGGAAGCAGTGATCAAGGGTCTGAAAAAGGCTAGTGCCATACTGAACTTTGCAAAAAGTGGGTTCGCTGTGGCCAAAGTAACTTATCTTGATTATGTAGTGGGGAGCAAAACTACTCCCCCAGATTCCTGAAAACCTAGGGAGTTAAGGTGTTTTCCAGATATGAGAATGTTCTACTGCAAGTTTGTCCTGAACTTTAGCACCATGGCCACTCCCTGACATTAACCCTGATAAGAAAATAAAAGGCAAGCCAAGAGCCTGTTTTCAAAATTGAAAACTATCCTGATAAACATGCCTGCATAGATGCCCCAGACTTCAGTAATCAATGTTAGCGATCTAGAGTTAAGAGCGATCCTACTCAAGAAAGATGATTCTGGAATCAAGTGTCTAATTGGCTTTTTTTCTTCCGAAAACTCATCAAAAATTAGAAAAGATACTCTACTGAAGAGAGAGAAATTGTTTTCTGTTAGCTTTCTAGCATTTTGAAATCTATTTACCATGGATAAAACAAGACCTCTCCACTCTACACAGATCAATTCCTAGAAACATTAAAAACGATCAATGCTACATTGTTCTGCCGAAGCTTGTTGTTGCAGCCCTTTAACTGAAAAATGATTCACGCCAGCATTACATTGTTCTATGCCTTACCCCGTTTGTAAGCATCCACAATGTTGTAGAGAGCTATCATGGCATCTCCTAGTTGTGCATTTGATTTTTCTTGCCCCAGTGTGAGAATGAATGTATACCATTTTCTTGAACGTGGTGCATGTTTGAAAAACCTCCCGCCACCCCGTGAAATGCATTATGGTTAGATTAACATAACACAACAATCCCGACCCGAAACATCAGCTTTCCTGCTCCTTTGATGCTGCCGAGCCTGCTGTGTTCCTCCAGCTCCACACTGTTGTCTCTGACTCCAGCATCTGCAGTTCTTACTATCTCTTTAATATGTATGCGACTGTTTTAAGAGCACCTTAAATAACCCAACAGGAATAGCTTCTCCTGCAACAATTGCCGAGAGAATCCAAGCATCTAATTCTGAGTGACAAAAGTAAAATCAGCCGATACCTGTGCCTGTGATTGTGCTGTCTACAAATGAAACAATGAAGCACAAGTTATATTTCAGCAAAAACTTCCAGGAAAACTTTGAAGAGGTTTTGTTAAGGGAAGAAATGGTCTACAACTCCTGAACTGTTGGGTAGCCAATCGCCCACCAGTGAATTTTAGACAGTTAACTACAGCCTTAGACTTGAACTTCACCTTAAAAGCAAGGGCGTTGATAAACTAGTATTGCTCAGTTATTTTTTATTAATGTTGCTAATTGAATAACTTCTGTATTCTTTCCAATTCAATCTATCCCTTATGTATTTGTGAGTGTGCTTGTAAGTACTGAAAATATTCCAACCTCCCTGCATCTAAAGGTCTATGAAATAAACCATGCTTCCTACATTGTTGTTGCAATCTGCAAAATCGAGGTCCACATATAGAAATACAACCTGGCAGATGTTGCCTTTATTTTTGCCTGTTACTTTTTCTTCGACTTCTGTTTCTTTAACTACAGAAACAGCTGATAATTGCTTAAGATGGAATGAGATACTCCAAAGGCTTTTAGGATATTTATCATGCCATTATGACGCAAATTTTTTAATTGTCCTGATTCCTCAAAATTTTGCTTACATATAATTTCTCTGTCATACTGATGCTTGCTCTATTGATCCATCAAAACCTGCAGTTGAGATTATTATAATGGACTAACCTAGGAATGTTGGAAGTAAACAGCACAATCTGTTTAAGTCCGTGTAAGGTCTTTGGCCTTTCTGGTGAAAGCGACAAAAGGATTGAGCTCTTAACCATGCAGCTTGCAATCCTTGAATGATTATTTCAGAATGAAAGAATAATTTACTTTATAAATTGAGTTGGTTTGCCTAAAAAGATGGCTTAGAGTCAATACCACATTACTGTCACCTTGTATGTAAATTCTAAGTTAACTGAAATCTTATTTTAGTACATTGGATCTGAACCTGCTAAATTACAACAAATGGGTTCTGAGGAAGGGTCACCAGACCCGAAACGTTAACTCTGTTTTCTCCTCCACAGATGCTGCCAGACCTGCTGAGCTTTTCCAGCAACTTTGTTTTTGTTCCTAAATTACAATACTTACTTTTTATTAAGCATTATGGTTAGAAATTTTCTCCCATTTAACAGCCAAGTGTTGGTTCTTGGTGTTTTACTAAACCGGATCCTTCTATTTAAACATTATGATGTGACCAAGAATATCAGAATACTTAGTAAGAACAATTGTGCATCTTGTACCTCTTGTTTCTTTCTTAGAATTAAGCATTTTCTACAAAGCCATCTTTTCCCAACCATATCCTCTGTAAGGATCAAAATGTAAACTATCTGGTTTCACTAGTTGGATTCCATATATATTGTAATCTTTCTGTAGATGAAACTTGATTAGCATTCTACATAAACTGATTTTAGGAACTGGATACATGTTAACCAGGAGTGTAATATGTTTTACTTTCTCCTATGTTTGTATAGCAGATGCTTACTTTGGAAAAATGGGATTGGGTGTTCTCTTATGCCCTCAACCATGTCCTTCACGAAAAAAAACCTTATTCCACATTCAGTCCTGCTTTTGAACAGATCAGGCTACCTCTGATCACTTTTTTGTATCACTCTGTATTAACATTCCAGCTGTAACACCATCTCTGCCCACTGGAGAAACTAAATCGTGGTATGTAAATGAACCTGGTATTAGAGATGGTACCATTTTTATTGGCCTCAAAAATCTCAATCCCTCAGTTTTAGAAGGAGTTTTTGAAGTTTCGTAGGTCTGCTTGTATGGCACCAACATTATATCCTGCACTCTGTACTATTATCTTGATACACTTGTATAGTATGATCTCCCTGTAAAGCATGTAAGACAATACTTTTCACTGTACTTTGGTACATGTGACAGTAATAAATCAAATCTACAGTATCCTTCAGGGACCCTCTTGTGGCACAGTGATGTTGTTCCTACCCTGGACCAGGAGGCCCAAGTTCAAATCCCAACTGCTGAAGAGGTGTGTAATGACATCTCTGAACAAGTTGATTAGAAAAATAGGTTCAATATTAAAACTGCCTAGACTTTTACTTGCTGTTCATGATATTTTTGCAAATACTGTTCCTTCACCTGCATTTTTATGTCTTTGTCCTAGTAAATTCCAAATTTTCTGGTGTCAGCCAAGGCTTTGTTTGAAACAATTACCAAACTCCGAGTCAGAAAAATGTGCATTAAAGTTATACTCCCAGAACATGCAAATCAAGGCTGACAGTCCAGTGCACTACTGAAGGAGCCTGGAGTTGTTGTTGTACTACCTTTCAGCCTTTTGTTGGGCTCAAAAATCCCACAGGCCTATTTTGAAGAACAGTGTAGGGAGTCTTGGCTAATATTTGACCCTAGATCAGTACCACAGAAAAAGGTTATCTGGTCGTTATTGCATTGTTTGTGAGACCTTCCCTGCACAAATTAACGACTACACTTCCTACCTTACAACACTAAATTACAATGATTAAACATTGACTGCAAACTGTTTTTTGACATCCTATAATCATGAAAGGGGGGGGTAAGTTGGTCAACTCAGTTGGCTGGCTGGCTGGCTGGTTTGCAATGCAGAGTGATGCTAACAGCATGGGTTCAATTCCCACACCAGTAAAGGTTACAATGAAGGATTCCCCTTCTCAGCCTCTCCCCTCGCCTGAGGCATTGTGGCCCTCAGGTTAAACTACTACCAATTGTCACACTGTCATGAGAAAGCAGTCCTGTGGTCTGGTGGGGCTGTGGCAACTTTACTGTTTAGTCGAGAAGGACAATCAATAAATTCAATTCATTTAAATAGTTGTATCCTTGCAGCTTTCAGATTTTTGTGTAATGAAAGGAAAGCCCCCATATGACTAGTTTACAAAAATACTCAGGAAATGGGAACAACCTCATAGCTGCAGATTGTGAGTTAAGTAATGTGCTCTGCCTTTTGAATTAATGGTTGTTGTTGGTTAATAAAAAAATCAATGCTTTCTCCCCTGGCTGAGGTCTGCTGGAGAAGTAAATATCACACGCCTCACTATTTGGAGCAAGGGAAGTCTGTGGGAGATTTATTTTTGGTCATTCTTGGCACTTCCTTTGAACTGGTTTCAGCACAGTTTGCCCAAATAACTTGCCTGTACACACATCCACCAATAATAATGTTGGAAAACTGGCAAGGAGAAGGAATTTGTTCAACCAAAAGTATACTGTCTTACATGCAATATCAGTGATATTTTAAATCTTGTTCATTTTCTCTTTAATAGGTAAATGATTTTGTACGAGACAAGTTCACTCGAAGAGATGGCTCAATTCCTGTTATTGGAGAAATCCTTGCTGGCGGTTGTGTAAGTATTGCTTACACTTTTCTGTTGTTACACGTGACAGTAATAAATCAAATCAAAATCTTCAGGATGTATCATAAAAATTTGAATGTTGTAATCTTTGAACTTTATGAAATTCTTTGGCTCGGTTGGCAAATTTGTACCTTAATTATTGCAGTTCAGGTGTTAAGTGAGTTGCAACTTGAATAGATAGTGATGATACTGGCTAAAGCTTTTTTTAAAAATCCCTGAGTACATTGCTATGTAAAAGCTGGCCAAAATGTTTCAGAAGGGTACAAAAACCATTTTGACATTGTCATTCTAAGTTTATACTCTGCGAAGTAAAACTCAACATGCGCGTGATATGGCAGGTGAGGATTAAAAAATCTATTTCAACTTGTGACCAAGTTGGGAGAAATTGGAGTTATGGTTTTGTGATTCCAAATCAGAATGCTAACTAACGTTATGATGTCAAATGGGATTACCAAATTGTTGTTTTCTGGTCAGGGACAACTAATATTTTTAAAGTAGACAAAAGGTGAGATCTAGCGAATACAGCCACAAGATTCTACAGTTTTAAATAAACAAGACGACTTTACAAGTTGGAATAGAAATACAATCTATAATACATGTGCAAGTTAATTCTAACACCTGTAATTAACGTGCTAAACATTTCTAATGTACTTTGAACACAGCAGTTCGCAAATGCAGTCACGACAGATTCTACAGATTTTGCAGTAACTTCCCTCAGGCATTATTGACATGGTTGTGGACCTCATATTAAGTTTCATAAGTTCTTCATCTCTGCTAGTTTGGCCTTGAAACTCCTTCTTAAACTGTTCCATCATGGACTGCCTCAACAACTGCTCTGGTTCTGATTGATCACTTTCTTGTGTCCATGCTCCTCTGGACTCTTGAGAATTGCATTCCAGTACTTATTCACAAGGAAATCCATCCTTTCATTGACCGCTGCAATCTTGACTTATGGATCTTTCACCCATTCTGTTGAGCTGAATAATATGCTTCTTTCTAGCCATTCACAGCTCTAGGATTTCCCAAGCCCTCCTTACCCAGAGCTATTCAAGTGATGTAGGACTTCCTTGATTCCTCACTAAATAAAATCTGTGTAGCTCAGCTGCCTTTCAGCAGCACAGTTAATAACAACCGTGCCTTCAACTTGGAGGTTCTGTCTATCTGTCCTCCTGTGACTCGTTTTGACCGCAGAACTACTGCTCAGTGACCCCCAAACTATTCTGTCTGACCAATTAGAAACTTTGAAAATTAGCCCTGTCCCCTACCTCTGGGGTGAATTGAATGTAATTAATTTTGGAACTATCAAATGGAGCCAACTCTTAGAATTCTCTGTACTCCTGATTGTTAAAACGTTGCCACTTTTTGCCGTTTTTTCTAAGTTTCATGAATAATAAAAGAACAGGAATTCATCATAGCTTGTACAGACTTCATTCAACAATTAATTCAGTTTGATTGATCCTGACTTAACCCAAAATTTCACCCAAATGTACAAATCTATAATTCTTCCTTGTTTATTTATTTCTGTGCCTTGGAAATACTATCATTTTTAAGAGATGTGTATCCTGAACTGTCAGCTAATCTTCCTGTTCTGCTGCCTGATAGTTCTGGATCTGGGCCATTGCCTGATGTTTGTTTTCTTCTATTTTGGTAACCAGATAACTCTTGGGTCTTAAATGAGAAATGTTTGCAACCTTATTTAGGTCTGTTAATAAAACTGTTTCATCTTATTCCAAATATTTTGGACAAGTTTGTGGTTCATTATGCTACTGGAAACATTTTGAAAAATGGGTAGGAGTGGGTTACTGGAGCAAAGGATGATGCATGTCAAGCCTGGGCACTACAAATAACACTTGAACTATGCAGGGGATAGTCACTGAAAGGAAGAGGCATTACTAAACAGAGATTGGATAATAAATATTTTTCTGTTCCGGGCAAAGTTAAATCCCACAGGAAAATTCATAGCTCTGTACTAGTTGGTCAGGTGCTGGTCAGTTAACACACACATGGCAGATACCTCCTGAGGCCACCTGCAAGACTGCAACCTGGAGTATTAAACATTATTGGTCCTAATTTAAGAGTTTGTGACAATTGCTTTGCTATTGCTATGGCATTTGGTGTAACTAAGCCTGCAAGTTACCCTCCAAGTCACACACCATTCTAACTTGGAGCTGTATCGCTGTTTGTGCAGTGTTGCTGGGTCAAAATCCTGGAACTTCCTTTCTCACTGCAGTAGGAGTGTATCTACCACCTCCAAGTACTACAGTGATTGGAAAAGGCAGTTGACCATCTCCTTCTGAAGTACAATTAGGAGTTGCCATTAAACGATGGCTTTGCCAGTGCAGCTCGCGTCCTGTGAACAGATTTTAAAAAGTCCTCCAAATTTCACTGTTAGCTTTATTTCCAATATGTTAATCTCAATGGTCTAAGTGTATACCTAGCTTAGTGCATGAGGATGTATTTTAGATTGCTTATTTTAGGTTACAGTCAAGTGCTTTGAAAGTTCAATCCCCACTGCAAAGCTTTTTCAAAATCTGTTTTATTTTTAAGAATCTGGTTTCAAATGGCCTGTAAGTACTAGGCTGTTTTGTTGTATTAAATTTCAGTCCTTCTGTTACTTTTAGATTCAATGCTGTCTGTCTGTCAAGGTAAATAATTGAATATATCATCGATTCAGATCTTGTATAGAGTAGAATGAGAAGAGATCATGCTGACTGTGCAGCGTATAAATTACTGAAAGGGCCAGTGTACTCGAGAGTTATTCTGCCATGGAATGATATTCTTGTCCATTTGGAGAAATGAACCAAAACACACACATCATTCATGGACTGGATAATCAGAAACTTAAAGCAAAAATTGTTGTTTCATGGTAAATTCATGCTTAAAATAGATTCAGATGAAGAAATGTGGTATGCACTTTCTGCCCACAGACCTTCCTTTTATTTCATAGTTTATTTTCTAAGCATTTTATATCGTATTGTCTTGGATATTAAATGTATTTAAACACAATTCTATATTAACAGATGTCATTGTATAATGCAGTCTTTCAGATAGAATTGTAGTATGTAACACCGCAGACCATCTGGCATTTGTTTTTTATTCACTCACGGGGCAAGGGAGTCACTGGTTAGGCCAGCAATTATTGCTCAGAAGTCAGTGAAGAGTTAACTACATGCAGGTCAAACCAAGTAAGGATGGCAGTTTTCTTCCTATGTTTAGAGGGATATGGGCCAAACACTGGCAAATAGGACTAGTTCAGTTTAGGATACCTGGTCAGTATGGGTGAGGTTGGGCCGAAGGGCCTGTTTCCCTGCTGTACACCTCTAGGACTCTATGACCCATGCTTGAAATTCACTTGCTTTAAATTCTACATGCCCACACTCTCTTTTAATGCACTCGTCCCCACATAAAGTTTTTCCCCATTTGAAAACGTTTTCTGATGCATCACTTTGCCAATTTGACAAATGAGGGCTGAACGTGGTGAAAGTACTGCACAGCACTGCTTGCATGCCAGACAGCAGAAACAACCTGTGATGGGCATAGCTGAATTTCATAACAATTTCATTGTCCCACTTCGAAAATAGATTTAAAAAAGCTTTAAAATTAAAAATTCCTTAAACTTACTCATCACCATTTATCCTGCTATTCATAATTTTATCAAAAACATTACCATCCCTTTCTCCTACAGTGTCTTGAAATTCCAACACTACCCATCAAATATCTATTTCTTGCTGACTTCCACATTACTGTTCTAGCCTGTGGTTATTTATTGATAAATAATTGGCTATACTAGCCTTGAAAGCTTTGTTCTTACTTCTGTTGTCTCTTTTTCCTCCACCTGATTTGTTCTTTAAATGTTCACTATTGTCCCTTCCCACTGTTTCGTTCCCTACCTGTTTCAAATAAATAGTTTGTCACTGACTCTTTTCTCATTGCCAGTCTTTTCCCATCTCTCCGGACAAGTTCTATTTTCAATCTCGGCATTTCCAACTTGGATATGTTTTCTTCCCACTTATTTTGAAATAAACATTTTGCTATGCCATTTCCGATCCTCCCTCCTCCACTGTTTCTCTGCTTCACTGTTTAAAAATTGGCTCAGACTTCTTCAATTTGTTTAATTACCATCGACTTAATTATCCTTTCAAGGAAGTGTGCAAGTGAGCATGCCAGAAGTGGCATTGGGAATATCTAAAAATGAGGGCTGAACGTGGTGAAAGTACTGCACAGGACTACTTGCATGCCAGACAGCGGAAATAACCTGTGATGGGCATAGCTGAATGATGTCACAACCAATGGATTTGATCTAAGCTTTGCATTCCTGCCACATCCATTGTGAATGGTTGTGGACAATTAAACAAGTATGGGGAGGCAGAGGTGGCACAAATATATCCAGCCATAATGATAGAAAATCTCAGAATTTCAGTGAAAAAATGAGGCTGAAGCATTTGCAACTATTTTCAGTCAAAAATATTGAGTGAATGGTTCATCTCCACCTCCTCCAGCATCACTGAAGGCACTGGATATTACAAAGGTTATGGACCTTGATTACATTCCAGCAGTAGTAGTGAAGATGTGCTTTAGAACCAGGCAAAGTTGTTCCAGTGCAGCTGCAATTCTGGCATCTACCATGCAATGTGGATAATTAAACAAAATGGCCTTTGCACAAAAAAACGCAGCCAATCTGGTAATCTTCAGTTATTGTCCCATCAGTCCCCACTGGATCAACAGTAAAGAGGTGGAAGGTGTTATCTACAGTGTGATTTTGGCCCTTACTCAGAAGTAACCTGCTGACCTGTTCCACAGGGTTACTCAGCTTCTGACCTCATTATAGCCTTGGTTCAGACATGACCAAAAGAGCTGAACTCTTGAAGTGATGTTAGTTTGACTGACCGTTAAACAAGGCAGCATTTGATTGTGTGTGGCATCACACTATAAAAACTGGACTACAATGGAAGTGAGAAATATTCTACTGCTTCCAGTTGTACATAACAGAA